TAACCATGGGCTCAGGACCCCGGGCCATAGGGGAGGGGCAAACAGAGGTCTTTGTACCCCTGGCTTGAGGCCAAGCAGAGAGGCCAGGCCACACTGCAGCGTGGAGCCAGCCTGAGGGGCAGGAGGTGGGAGTGGAGCCCATGCCCATCCCTCTCTGGCCGTCTACCTGCCATGGTCTGGCTGGGGCCTCCTCAAGGCAGGCTGGACACTGGTGCCACCCACGGCTCCCCAGGGCTCCTTGGCCGAGCAGACTGATCCCTCAAGGGCTGGGCAGGATTCACTCTCTGTCCTTGTGGCCAGTCAGTCAGGGCACCAGGATGGGTCAGAGGCTGCCGCCATCCCCGGAAGCAAGTTAAACAAGAACAGGATAAGTTAACGTGTAACTCTGGCCACTGAAGCACTGCCTCTGCCCCAGCTGCCGCGTGGAGGCCCCAGAGCACCAGGCACAGCCTAGACTGCACGTCATCTGCCCCAGGGACGCGGTGACAGCCCAGGGTGGGACAGCACTCCCAGCACACCTCGTGAGCCCAGGAGTTGGCCTCGTTCCCAGGTCCCCTGGGACAGGGCTGCCACCCACAGGCAGGGGGGCTGCAGTACAGCCGCACTCAGCCTGTACCGAGGCTCCGGGGGGCTCGGGGTTCTCGAGTGCTGGGCTGCCTGACTGAGCCTCGCTCCCAGCCATGGGGTTTTGTTTTGGACGCCGTCCTGGGTGCACCACGCACGCGTGAACCCTGCACTTGAGGCTGCACTGGGCCGAGGTGTCGAGGCAGGAGGGGTGAGCGGGGGTCAGGCTGGTCTCACGGGGCAGCCCTCCTTCTGGGTCCTGTGCTGGCGCCTCCACCCATTTGTCATCTTCAGACCCAGACACTTTTGTCCACACTGTCCGTATAGTTGTCCAAGGGAAGCCCCCACCCGCCCACGGTGACCTTTCTCTCCTCCGCGGCGTCTGGGACCACTCCCGGCCAGACTGGCAGCAGCCACACGCCTCTTGACCCAAAAAGCTCTCCAGTGACCTGGGCTGAACGGCGGGGCATGAAGCCCCAGTGGCAGAGCCTTTGAGGAAGACTCCTTGGCAGCCGGGCCCTGGGCACCTCCTCCCTGGTGCCCAGGGGTATTTACTGGGCACCTAGTCCTCCCCCTGCTCCCTGCTAAGTGGACACACCAGGGCCCCGGCTCCTTCAGGCCCTCCCCCCACCCGTAGGGCCCCTGAGGCTTTGCAGGGACGAGTCTTAGCCTGCCCCCCATTCCTTCGGCACGGGTGACCCGATGTGGCCCCGTGATCAGCTGGAAGCCCCTGGTTTGGCTGGGCTGGAATTTCCTCAGAAATCGGTGGAGCGGCAGGCTCGTTCCCGGGGGGCTGGTGCGGAGGGTCCTTCCAGAAGTCCTTTGGAGTGGAGGGCAGTCCTGGCAAGGCCCTTGAAGCAGGAGGACAAGCCCACTGAGGGCTATGGGAGGCTGGGCGGCTCACGCCCCCTCCCCCAGCCCAGCGGGTCCCAGGGCAACTCCTACAGTGGCTCCTTGGCCTCTGTAACCTCAGAAGACCTCCTACCCCTGGAAAGGCAACCTCGGACCCTCCTGGAAATTCAGGCCAAACCACATGGCCAGGCGACAGGTGTCCCCCTGCACACCCTCCGCTGCAACCCTCCCCGTCCTCTGTATCGTCTCTGTGTTGTACGACCGCCCCCTGCACGCCCCACACATGCCTGCACGTGCACACTCCCCACACCTCCGACACTCTGGCAGTCCACACACCTGGCACACCCCACACCACACACACTGCACCTCACACCCACCCTCAGCCTCCCATCACCCCTCGCTCTCTCACTGGCACACACGCACCACACACACACGTGCACACGCAAGCCACGTGCTTTGCGGGCCTCCCCTCAGCCAGGCCTGATTTCGAGGAGAGGGCTCAGGCCGGAAAAGGCATCCAAGGACGAGAACACAGGCTCAGGCTGAGCAGCGAGAACACGAAGTCACCTGGTTCCAGCTCTTTCCTCCTGAGGAGGGGATGTCCGTCACTGAGGTCATTCACGTGTGCTTGGGAGCAAACTGTTTGCTCGGCTGGGCCCCCGGCCCAGTCCAAATCACCACGGCTGCCCCAGACGCATCGCCAAGCACGGCGAGGACCTGGTTTTTGTTTGTGCGTTTTAATAAGAACTTTCCCCGTAGCTTCCTGGCTTTGCAGTCACATCCTCTCCTCAACCTAAACCCCACCCAGGCACCCACCCTCCTCCCCAGCGGGCTGGCGGGCGGGCGGGCGGGCGGGCAGTTGGTGGTTCTCCCCGCCAGCCCCGCCTGCCCCACTCTTCCTGTAACTCTGAGTCAAGCAGCTCCTTCCTCTAGGGCCCGCCCCAGCCCACCCGGGCACCGGCACCGGCACCGTCCTTCCCTTCGCAAGGCCAGGCCTGGGTGAGCGGGGAGGTGGCAGAAGGGCTGGGGGCCACGGTGATATGTGGGGGTCCTGGCCAGCGGACCCCCAGTCAGGGCCGTCCTGCACACGCCTGAGGAGCTGGGCAGTATGGCCTGCTTCCCGGACACTCCCTATGGTCCCAACACCCAGGAGACGGGGCGGGGGGCGGGTGTCTCCACGTAGCTCCCCGGGCCCCAGTGAGCAGCCCCGATGTATCTCTGACCTCTGACCTGCCAGGGTGATGGGTGGGGCTCCTGTGGAAACTCTCACCAATAACGGGCCCTTGAACAGGGCTCTCTGGCCCCCTCCCTGCCCACCTCCCAGGTGTAGCCCCCAAATGGTGAGCAGTTACAAGGAGGCTGGGGTATCACATGGACCTTAAGCCCCCTCTTCTAGATAAGGGAGCGAACAGGAGGCCTCAGCGAGGCTCCCAGCTCTGAGCCCAGGTGGTGGAGAGCCGACATCTCCTGGAGTCACAACAGACCCCCCTGCACCACCATCCCGGACTGACCTGGAACTCAGCGCCCAGCACTGGTGGCTGATGGCGCTGCTCATAGCAATCGGGCAGGGTCCCCTGTGGTCCCTGTCCCTGCCCTCACCCTCCAGGGGCAGAGCATCCTCACTGCAGCGTCAGCTTTCCTACATCCTTAATCTGACCCTGTCCAAGGCACCCTGCACCCCCCGTGGCCTCCAAGACCCTTGGACGATGGTGCATCTTGGGCTCAGGGTCCAATAGAACTGGAAGAAGTCCTGACTGCACGCCTTCCCCACCGAGCCGCAGCTCCTCCAAGGAGCCCCAGTGGGCCCTGAGGCTGAGTGAACAGCGTAAGCACCTGATGGACAGGCTGGTGGCCGCCAGCAGTCAGTGACCTGCCCGGGAGAGCCCAGGCAGGAGACAAAGAGCTAGGTTCTCCCTGGTGTCCCCACCTGCTTTGCTGCCTCTCAAAGCTCCTGCCAGACTGCCTGCCTCTCGGCATGCCCACCCGCACCACCACCTCACAGCCGCGACTGGGCGCCCGTCTACCCTTTGCTAACGCCCACCCTCACCCTCCCTTGTCCCCCAGGCCCACTCCACAAAGTGAGCAGAAAACCCCACGTCGCCTCAGGCACTCTCGAGAACAGCCCTTCCGAATCCGAGCCCGCCCCCTGCACCGCCCACCGCGCTCGGCTGCACCCGCGCGGTTCCTAGGAAGCCCTAGCCCCTCCCACCCGCCGGCCTCACGCTGGCTCTCCGCCTCCCCGGAGCCTCGGCGTCGGCCTGGCCGCCTGCGCGCGCCCGCGCCTTGTCCCCAGGCGCCCAGCCGTCTGATTTGCTGCTCAGCACCCCAGTCTCTGAGCGACTCCCCCTCATCTGGGACCGGCGGCCCCTCTGCGCCTGGCGCGTCTGTCCCGAAGGAAAGAACTTGCACAAAGCGCTGTGGCCCCGCGAGCCGAGAGGCCCCCTCCTGCACCCCCGGGCCCGCCACACACCCCACACCCGCGCTCCGCCTTCCCGGAGGGGCGTTAGTACCCCCTTCCTCCGGGTGGGGTGAGCCAGGCAGGGCGCGCACATTTGGGGGGCGCGGGGACGGGCAGGTCGGGGGCGCGCACGGAAGGGCGGGGTGCGCGGACGGCTGTAGCGCCGCCCGGACACAGGTGCGCAGCGGCTCCAGCAGGTTTCTCCGTCCGCCCCCGGCGCTCTGGGAGGCCTCGGGGCTGGGCTCGGACTTTGGGGCGGAGGCGGGGTCCCTCAGCGCCTCGGCGCTCCTCTTCCCTCTCCTGGCCGAGGGCCAAGTCGGGCGGAGCGGGAAGAGCGGCCCTCGCCCCCGCAAGGCCGGAGGGGCCGGACGAGGGTGAGCTGAGGCTTCCGGGCGACGCGGGCAACGGGCTCGGCTCCGAGGCGCTTCCTGCGGAACCGCACCCGCCACGGCCCAGAGGCTCCCCGGGGCAAAAGGCGCGTCGGCCCCCCAAGCTCCAGGCCCGGTTCTGGCTCCCGGGAGCCGGCGACCTCCACTCACCTCCGCAGGTAGGAGCCGCGATCGGCACTCACCTGCTGACAAGACCCGGGGCTTGCGCGGCCGCGAGGGTGGAGCGGCTCACCTGGGCCAGGTGCGCAGCGGCGACAGCCCCAGCGACGGTGGCAGGTGCAGCCCCGCCCAGCAGCCGGGGCGAGGGCGGACCCAACTGTCCTGCTTCGAGCCTCAGGCTGGTGTTCAAGACGGTCCTGCGCTCGGCCCCCTGGAGCCGCGGCCGCCGCGCCTGGGGGCAGAGGCCAAACCGGCCCGACCAGCCCCGAGAGTCTCGGTGCCCCAGGAACTCCTCGGAAATTCCACCGTCCCCAGGAGCACCTGGTGCGGTTCTGCTCCTCCTCCCAAGCTCTTTGTCTTCCTCTAGGAAGCCTGCCTTGACTCCCGCTCCTAAACCCGAGGTGCAGGGAGGGTAAGACCTCTGTGACCTCTGTAAGGCACCCCTCACTTGGAAGCCCACGGAAAATCAGAGCGGGGCGGAGGCTACCACATTCCGGGCCTCTCCCCGTCACGGCCTCAGTTTCCCAGCTAGCCCTGAGGGCAGACGTAATCGGCCAGAAGCCCAGAAATTAACACAAAGCAGTTTTATTTTATTAGAGAAAACTCTGCTGGTTGAGGGGAGCCAGTGGGGTGGGGCAGGATCTGGGGCCCAGGAAACTGGGCCAGTTTTCCTGTCAAGACGGCGTGAGAAGACAGGACAGGCCTGCACTGTTCCCCCCCAACCCCGCCCCAGTTCTCTGGGTGGCAGGGGTCACTCAGAGTTCAAGTCAGGCAGTACCAAGCCTGAGCCCTCACAGGTGGAACAGGCCTCCCAGACCATGGACAGGTGTGCAGCTCACAGACACCCCAAATATACAGGGGCTCCCAGGACCCCCACATATACGCGGGTCTAATTAAAGCCCGCCCACACACACACACAGCCGGGGCTGGGGTGGGCGGTGGTGGCAGCAGCTCTGCAACTTGGCCTCTTGACCGGCTCCGGGCCTGCTCCATGTCTGTGCTCTCGGCCGGAGTCTCTGGTACTTCGGGACTCGGGGCCAGGCCCCGGCAGCCCCGCCTCCCCAAGTCTCTGGTGCTTCCTCTTCAGGACTTCATTCTTCACCCACTGAGGCACATCAGGCACAAACCAGCCAGCAATGAGCTTGACGCATGAGGCCACGTGCTGGGAGGGCCAGAGTGGGGAGGTCAAGGTGCGCTGAGCAGGGACTTTAGGGGGCAGGGGCCCAGGGAGGGCTGCAGAGAGCTGCCCCGCCCTGGGGCCTGTCCCCAGTGTTGGCTCACCTCGAAGAGGATGAGGAAGGTCAGACGGACGGCCAGGAGGAACCAGGGCTGCTCAGTGAAGTTGGAGTTCTGAGCGGTGCCACAGTCCCAGTACCTGGGGTGGGGAGCACCTGAGGTCAGGAGTCAGGAGTTCAGAGGGTGCTCACAGGGGATGGGGGTCCAAACCTGCACTCAGTCACATTCTCTGAGCCCTCTATTTCAACAGGATTCTGGAAGTCCTTGGTGTAGAACACGGACAGGCTGTGGTTGACGTAGCCTGTGAGGCAGCTGGGGGGAGGGGGAGAGGAGTTTGGTGTGGTCCCTTCAGGCTTCTGGGGTGCTGGCTTGTAACCGACCCCGCCTGGTGGGGGCCATCAGGGTGGGCCACAGTGCAGACCCCCCTCCTTCGTCTCTGTACATGGGAGAGGAGCCCCTGGGGGAAGCTGAAGGCCACCACCTGCCTTCCTTGCCAGGGGCCGAGGCTTCCTTGCCAGCCTTCCTGGGGGAGACCTACCCCTGGAGACCTGTCCCCCTGCAGGGCTGGAGGAACTGGATGAGGACAGCATGCAGACCACTAAGGGTCTGCCTTTGGAAGGGGAGCCATTCCAGTATCACTTGCTCAGAAAACAGCTGGTTCTGGGACGTTAACCCCCTACTGGGGTCCCAGTCAGCACTCCCGGGGTCCACTCAGGGTCTGCAGGTTGCTGTGGGAGGGCAGCCCACCCCAGGCAATACTGTTAGCATTGAGCCCTTCCCTGGGGTCCCCTGGGGCTGGGCCATGGTTGGGCCAGTTTCCCAGGGGTCTCTGGACAGGGTCTGTGTGGCGGTGTCCCCTTACTCGACTGCAGGGTGGGCCCCCTGTCGGCACGGGCCATAGCGGTACTTGTACACCACTCGGGGGATGAACTCAGATGTGAAGGCGATGACCATCCCGTCGGCAGTGACGGCCAGCACGCCGATTATCGCCAGCACCTGCAGCCAGGTCCCTGGGCCACGGCAGGGGGTGAGGCCTGCACTGTCTCCCCGCCCCCTGCCCCCCCACCTCTGGTGATCCCCTGAAGCTGGGAGCCTGGATGGTCAAGGGCCTCATCATGTCTCTGCTTGTGGCAGCCGCAGGGCCAGGTCCGTGATGAGGAAGACCTGGGCCAGGGCCAACAGAGAGCAGCCTCCACTCTCCTGCACCCCTCTTCTTGACGTGGACAGGGAGGGGCTCAGGTCTCCGCCCCCCATCTTATGCCTGAACCTTTCGGCTGCCCCCAGGCCTGCTCCACCTCCTGGGTCCCCTCCCCAGGGCAGACCCCCTTAACCTGGTCCCAAGTCTCCCTCACACTTCTCTCTCCCACTGCCTATGTCCAACGCCACAACTCCTGGCTTCATCCCTGACACCTGTCCACCTCAGCGAGGCCAGTCAAGGTGACTAAGGCCACCTGCTCTCAGTCCCTGTGCCCAGCTGCTGGACCCCTCTCCCTCAGCTCCCTGAGAGTCAAGCCGTTCTGCACGGCCTCCGCAGGGCGGCAGCTGGCCCTTCAATGGGACCCCTGGGGGGGAAAGGCCTGCGAGGTGCCTGCCAGCCCCGCCTCTTCCTGGGGCCTGAGCCCTGCCCCCATGGCTCAGAGCGGTGGTTTCAAGGGGACTGGCGTGGCCCCAGCGTGCCTCGCGGCTCATGCCCCCATGGCTGGAGCGCCCGCCCTCAGGCCGCCCCGTCGGGCCCCTGACTGATGTCCTTGGCCTTGCGGGGCACCAGGCGCCGCTGCACCTGGACCATCTTGATGGCGTCCAGGCGGATCTCCACGAGGTTGCTGAAGAGCGCCAGCAGCAGGGCAAGAGGGAAGGCGGCCACGAAGACGGTGGTGAAGCCCTACTGGATCCCTGGGGGTGGGGGTCGTCACCGCGGGCCCCCGCGCGGTGCCCGCCCCTCCGCCCAGCAGCCCCGCCCTGCATACTCATCTCCATGAACTCCTCGAACAGGCTGAAGGTGTGGACCGGGTTCAGGCGGTAGTTGCGCCGCCAGTGCCTCAGCTCGGGGTCCTGGGACGTGGCTCGCATGGAGCGACACTTGTGGGCCAGGCATCTGCGAGCGAGGAGGACCGGGTGGGGGACGGGGAGGGGGCTGAGGACCCCTCGGGACTGCTGGCTCTGGGAGGTGGGGTCCTGTGGGCTCGGGGGCTCCCTGTGGTGAGAGTGGCGCCCCGGGAGGGAGGGTGGTCCTCACGGGCCCAGGTACTCCATGCAGTTGCTGAGCGTTTGTTTCAGACCCATGATGATGGCCACCTGCACGAACAGGTCTGTCATGCAGCCGCTGAGATGGCACTGCGGGGGCAAGGGTGAGAGGTCAGGCACGGGGCCTGGGGGTGACCAGGGGGTTGGGGCAGTTCAGGAAGAGGGCAGTAAGGCCTCCGGACAGACTGACCTCCTCCAGCTTCCACAGCCCTGCCAGGCGCACCAACTTCCCGGGGTTACCGTTGATCATGGGAAGGGCAGCGAGGCTGAGAGAGGGGGCAGGACAGGAGTGGGAGTTGGGGAGCAGTGGGGCCTGGAGGGGAAGGAAGGAGACCCGCCCCACAGGTGAGCAGAGGCTAACCCAGACAGGCCTGCGTGCACGCAGGACCGCCGGGGACCTCTCAGCTGTTCACAGGCTCAGGAAAGGCTGTGAGGAGGGGCCTCAGTTTCTCCCCAGGTAACTGTGCACACAGGGCTACTTTGTGTTTAAATCACCTGATTTCCATGATAAAAAAGGTATATTTAACCAAACGTTGGGCTTATTATGCTCAATGGTGAAGTCCTGCAAGCACTCCTGTTACTACAGTTCATGACAACTACTATTCCAGAATGGTGTAACTTTGCAAAGGAAAAACTTGTTGTAGAAAATACGATTATATATCTGGGAAACCAAAATAAATCAACTGAACGATTGGGCAGATAAATCTGAAAAATGCTCAGAGTGGATATAAAATTGATATCAAACTCAACTCCCTTTTGCTTTCCTAGGTGCAACAAAACCACTGAGAAATGTAGCAGGAGGAAATATCTGTCGCAGATAGCGGCAAAAACTATAAAATAGAGTGAAATTCACAGGAAATACGGGGGACCCATAAGAAGAAAACTATAACACAGCTAAAGAACATTAAAACAAGACTTGAATAGAGGAAACTTGTTCTTCGATAGAAAAACTTACGCTTGTATTTTTGTGACAGGTGGAATGTCAGGCCCCCAAAGATACCACATCCTAATTCCTGGAACCTGTGAATATGTTATCTGACATGGCAGGTGGTATTAAGGTTGCTAATCAGCTGACCTTAAAATGGAGAGAGAATCCTGGATTATCTGGGTGTGCCCACTGTAATCACCAGAGTCCTTAAATGAGTAAGAGGGAGAGCCAGAGAGATGGCAGGATGAGAAGGACCCAGCCTGACACCACTGGCTTTGCAGACACAGGACGGAGCGGGCCAGGCAGCCTCTAGAAGCTGAAAAAAACAAGAGTGTGGACTCTCCCTGAGGGCCTGCAGACAGAACACAGCCCTGCTGACACCCTGATTTTAGCCCAGTGAGACCCATTTTGGACTCTTGGCCTCGAGAACTGTACGTAATGTGTGTTGTTTAAAGCCACTAAGTTGTGGCCAGCAACAGAAAATTAATACAGTATCTATGTCAATTCTCCCTAAAAGAATGTATAATTTCACTGCAGTCTTAAGCTAAATCCCACAGAATTTTGATGGAGTTTGACAAACATTATTTTAAAGTTCACCTAGAAGAATAAACACGTAAATAACTACAGAAAAGGAAAAGTGAAAAAGAAGAGAAAAAGAAAATTAACGCCAGACCTATCTGACAGGAAAGCATTACAGTAGTGATGACACAGAAATGTACTAGACCAGAGCCATCAGAATCCACGGAGCGCCAAAACAGTCAAGTGCATGATGGAACTTACTGTGTGACAGAAGGGTGGTGGTGGCGATGGAACAGTCAACAAATGGTTTGGGGACAACTGGCTGTCACTTGGAAAACAACAAAACAGGCTTCCCTCCTTTGCCGCCTGCAGCAAAACAAATTCCTTGTGAATCAAAGATTTAAATGTTTAAAATGTTGAAACCATAAGCATCTAAGGGAAATCACAGCTGAACGTTTTTTTTGGTTTTTTTTGTTTTGCTCCGGACGCGAGGCTCAGTGGCCATGGCTCACGGGCCCAGCCGCTCCGCGGCATGTGCGATCCTCCCGGACCAGGGCACGAACTCGCGTCCCCTGCATCGGCAGGCGGACTCTGAACCACTGCACCACCAGGGAAGCCCCTGAACATGTTTTTAATGTTGAGGAGGGGAGGCCTTTTTGAGCACGGCATGAAAAACAGGAACTATAAACAGACACACTGATAACCTTCGTGACGAAACAGGAACCACCTCCAGAGAAACACGAGTGGCTGCACAGGCTCCTGCCCTCTCCTCCCAGGGATGCCACATGCAGGGCCAGTACACGAAAGGCGCCAGACTCAGGCTTCCATCTGCCCCACCGCCTGCTGACTGTGCGACTTAACCTTTCTGTGCCTCGGTCTACTCATCTGTGAAATGGGGTTTAGAGATTCCCTACCCCATAGGGCTGTTGTGCAGATTAGAGCTGATGAATGTGAGGCCCTTATGATAGAACGGGTGAGTGTCAGCAGACGTGAGTTATTATAAAGACATATCCCATCCTGCCAGGAAAAACCTACTCAGTCCTTCGTTCTTCAGTATGAACGGACAGCTACAAATCTTCAGGCACGAGGAAAACCAGCTGTACAAAAGAGAAGGACTACGATAAAGGAACAGGAAGATGGACCTTTAGGAAATGAGATAATGAGGAAACAGATGAGAACTTAAGGGGAAAAAAGAACATTGATATCCTCAAGAAAGTACTGTATCTGTGGAAACAAGAAAAGGACACTTTAAAAAAATAAAAGGATAAAAAAATAAAAACCCTCTTGGAAATTAAGACTTTAACTGTTAAACTTAAAAAAAGAAAACAGGGACTTCCCTAGTGGTCCAGTGGCTAAGACTCCACATTCCCAATGCAGGGGGCCGGGGTTCAATCCCTGGTCAGGGAACTAGCTCCCACATGCCGCAACTAAGAGTTCGCATGCTACAACTAAAGATCCCACGTGCCACAACTAAAACCCAGTGCAGCCAAATAAATAAATAAATAAACATTAAAAAAAAAAAAAGGCAAAAAGACAAAGTGAAGGAAATCTTTCCAGATGTGGAATGTAAAGACACAGAGATGGAATATATGAGAGAAAAAGATAAGAAACCCAAGAGGACCAGGCGTTCCATAGACAGCAGAGGGGAAAAAAATATTTTTAAAAACCTAAGGAAAAAAACCAAAAAAAACTAAAAATAAAACTACCACCTGAACCAACAATCCCACTACTGGGCATATACCCAGAGAAAACCACAATTCAAAAAAACACATGCACCCCAATGTTCACAGCAGCACTATTTACAATAGCCAGGACACGGAAGCAACCTAAATGTCCATCAACAGAGGAATGGATAAAGAAGATGTGGTACATACATACAATGGAAAAGTACTCAACCATAAAAAGGAATGAAATGTGGTCATTTGTGGAGACGTGGATGGACCTAGAGAGTGGCACACAGAGTGAAGTAAGTGTGAAGTAAGTCAGAAAGAGAAAAACATCGTATGATAACACATATATGTGGAATCTAGAAAAATGGTATAGGTGATCTTATATGCAAAACAGAAACAGAGACACAGACGTAAAGAACAAATGTATGGATACCAAGGGGGAAAGGGGTGGGGTGGGAGAAACTGGGAGACTGGGACTGACACATACGCATTATAGACACTATGTATAAAATAGACAGCTGATGGGAACATACTGCAGAGCACAGGGAACTCTCCCCAATGCACTGTGGTGACCTAAATGGGAGGGAAGTCCAAAAGGGACGGGGTATCTGTATGTGTATGGCTGATTCATTTTGTTGTGCAGTGGAGGCTAACACAACATTGTAAACCAACCATATACTCCAATAAAAATTAAAAACAACCTAAGGAAAAACAGAAGAAAACGTAGTGAGCCTAAGCAGGACACGGGCTGTTTCATCGGAAGGTGCCAACAATTGCCCAGCACAGTGCGTGAAGAAAAGACCCACCTTAGATTGTTCCCCTGTTTAAAGAGAAGATCCTAAAGCTTCTAGGTCAACTAGGAAGAAACAAAAATCAGATTTTCTGCACATTTCTTATCATCCATTTTGCATGTTCAAAGACAATGGAGCAATGTCTTTAAAGTTCTAGAAGGGAAAAGTGTTTTGAAGTTAGATTTCTATACCCAGCCATGTCAATCTTGTGCAACAGTAGAACATGACACCTTTAGACATACATGAATTCAGAGAGTTTACCTCTCCGATATACCTTCTCAAAATAAATGAAAGCAAAAATCAAGAAAGACTCCCAAGGCTTGGGAGTCCAGGAAATGATGGTCCTAACCCAGGAAAGCAGCAGATTGAAGTCCCAGGGAGACAGGTATGCAGGAGGCATGGAGCGCCACCAGCCCAGTGTGGGGAGAATGGAGGGTCTCTGGGAGAAAAGAGACTCCATGCAATAGGCAGTTTGACATGGAGAGGCTGGATAACCTTGATAAGATAAAGACAGGCAAGGAGGAAAAAAGGCAATTAAAAACAACAGGAAAAATAAAGAGCTGCACAACAAAGAACGGTCAGATAAGAAGCACAGTAAAATGTGACATGATGAGTCAGAGGAGAATCCACTTGACCTTGATGTTATAAAAATGCTCAGATGATATGAACAACTTATAGGAAAAGAAACTTAATGGCCAAAAAATATCTGGAAAGATGCTGGATTCTCACTAATAGGTTTTAATAACGCACCTTTAAGGTCTTTGCTCATCAGACCAACGTGGAGTGTGCAGTCCCGTACACAGTGTGTGGCTTTGTGAGTCAGCGCAGCATTTTTGGAGGGTGCTTTAGCAACGTCTCTCAATTTAAATGTGCACTGCCGACTCCCAGTTAAAATGGCTGGCTGCCCACACCCACTGCCAGGCATCACCTCGGAGATGGAAGGGAACTGGGGAGGCCTGCAGCCCACTTGAGACATCAGGCTGGATCTAAGCCTGCAGGGAAGACGTCTGAATAGCAACACAACCCTGCCCAAGAGCCTGGAACACCCCAGGACTTGGGCACCTCTGGTAGCTTGGGAGCACCCACTGGATGGGAGGCAGGCCCGGCTGAACCTCTGGGCCTCCTATCCAACCCCTAATCCACCCCCCCACACACACAAGAGACACACACACAAGAAGACAAAGACATTTCTAGGGGGTTGAACAACCAAAGATTCAGATCGCAGGGTTGGGCCAATGGACACTGAGACCCCACAGTGTCCCTTCCCCAGCTGGGCTCCCAGCATACTGACGGGCATCCTTCTGCCTCCAGGCAGGAGACCAGGGATTCCCCTTCAGGAACCGACACAGCAAGAGGTCCCGACAGGAGACACATAGTCCAGAGCAAAGCCACTGGCACACGCCTTTCTCAATTACGGACAGGTGGCCAAGAATAAAAGACATCTAAGGCGGGGGGGGGGTCTCTAACACCAGAATCAGAGACCAATCAAAGAAAGAGCATCAAAGAAACTCGAAAGGAACAGAAGAAATGCCAGAGTAGAAGGGAAAAAGAGAGGCCACATCCTCAGAAAAGAAAAGCCCTGGTGTCCAGGTGACATGAAGAGGGGGCTGTGAAGAATCTGCACATGTCAAAAGGAGTGCTCTGAAATGAGAACATAAGCAGAAGCGAAACGTTCAGTAGAAGGGTTGGAAAACAGCTGAGAAAAACTCCAAGAAACTGGAAGAGAATGGGAGAAAAAAAGCCAAGAAAAGTAGATGATCAATTCAGAAGGTCCAATTTCCAAACAAAAAGAATTCCTCAGAAGGGAGGAGAGGGAGCTGAAGCAGGAGACTATCAGGTACATGAGAAAATCTCTCAAAACTGAAGGCCCTGAGGCTCCAGGCCCAGTGAGTACCCGGTAATTTCTTTCCATTTGACCAGCATTGATTCTGCACGCGTGGCCGGCTGCAGGAGCTGAGCATTCAGCAAAGGACAAGCGCCCTACCCTCCGCCCTGGGGAGCTGCCATTTCTGAGAGAGACAGTGAACAAATAAATGTGCGTCACGTCCTGGGTGGCGACGGCTATGGAGGGGGAGCAAGGGAAGAGCGGAGTCTGAGGGACCAGGGTTTGGGGCCAGGCGACGTTCCGAGGTCAGCAGGAGAGCAAAGGTCAGCGCCAGGAGGCAGAGTACCGGGGAGGCAGAAGCGCGAGGCGGGAGAACCAGAAACCAGGTTCGCCGATGAGAAGACTTCCGGAAAGAACTGTGACAGCATGTTTGTGTGATGGTGGAAATCAGCCGGCAGAGAGAGGAAAGCTGGCGTGTGGAGGAGAGAGATGTGAATTACCGAAGCATGTCGACTGAAAAAGACCCACCAAGTCACACGGCTGAGAAATTCCAGAAGACGGGGGACAGTGAGAAGATGCACAGAGAGTTGGAAGAACACTAACGCCAGACTTGCGGAACAGAACGCTGGAAGCCGGAAACCAAAATACCCTTCGGAAGTCTGAGGAAAACCATATCCAACTTAGAACTCTCTCCAGCAGACGCTCAGTCAGGCCCCCAATAAAGAGGAAACTCAGCACATATGATTTCCCATGTACCCTTTCACAGGAAGCCACTGAAAAACTTGGGATCCTACACGGCAGAGAGTGAGGGGCTTCCCAGGATGAAAGGGCCAAGCACAGCCCCAAGAGAAGGGGACAGATGCCACGAGGGCGTCTCCAAGGACCTCATGAAGTCTTTGAACATACTGGCAGGAGTTGGTTTCTTCTAAAGTTCTTCTAGAGGGACTTCCCTGGTGGCGCAGTGGTTAAAAATCCACCTGCCAGTGCCGGGGACACGGGTTTGAGCCCTGGTCCGGGAAGATCCCACATGCCATGGAGCAACTAAGCCCGTGCGCCACAACTACTGAGCCTGCGCTCTAGAGCCCACGAGCCACAACTACCGAGCCCGTGTGCCGCAACTACTGAAGCCCGCACACCTAGAGCCCGTGCTCAGCAACAAGAGAAGCCACCGCGATGAGAAATGAGAAGCCCGGGTACCTCAACAAAGAGTAGCCCCCACTCGCCACAACTAGAGAAAGCCCGCACGCAGCATTGAAGACCCAACGCAGCCAAAAATAAATAAATAATTGAGTAAATAAATTTTGCAAATAAATAAAGTTCTGCTAGAGAGTTTGGGATTAATTGGCAGTATATGTGTAACTTACAACATTTGAACAAACATAGAGAACACATAGAGGAATTATTTTCTTCAGAAAAGACAAGAAAAGATATGTTGATTGAACGAAAACTGTTCATTTCATTAATTAGGAAGGTGAGGGGAAGTGTGTGCATGTGCACGTGCATGTGTGTTACATGGGATGCCCACTGCAGCTTTATTTATAAACCTCAAAACTGGAATTAACCCGAATGTCCACCAACTGAAGTGGTTAAATAAATGCAAGGGCATCCCACAAAAGAACGCCCATAGTATGTTTTTAAAAACAAACCCTCACCGCCCATGCAGACATGGAAAACGCCCATAGTACGTTTTCAGTGTAAGGCAGATACAATTATTTACACGACAAAATCACTCATGTCAATAGGTGTATGTGTGTGTACTTAAATGTGTGAAAAAGTTTGGGAAGACCCAACAAACAGTTACAGTGTCATCTCTGAGGACGAGGATTGGACAGTTGGGGGTTCACTGTGGGCTTCCTTCACATATTTCTTTACTGGGTTTCCAGGTGTTCTGAGCATGATTAATTTTAAAAATCAAAAAGAACAGGTATTTCTATTTTCAAGGTGGGGAGAAAGGAGTTAGAGGGAGGCATGTGGGAGCAGGTGGCCCTTACCTGCCCAGGATGAAGGCGATGTAGATAAGGGAGGAGAAGTGAGCAAAGAACTACAGAGTGAAGAACTTGATGGTGAACTTGCTCTCTCGCTCTGAGAAGGTCCTGGGCTTCTCTGGAATGAGATGTGGGGCCGTCCCTCCCCCATCCTTCACCCCGATGACAGCCCGCGCCCAGCCTGTCCCTATCCTGACAACTCCGGGACACCTGCGACCCCCACCTGTCTCCCAGGTGCGAGCCCCTGCCCTCTCGTAGGCCCCCTTCCCCCACCCCAGGGCTCCAAGATCCCCGCCCTGAATCCTCCCTCCAGTAGCCAGAGAGGGGCTCAGGGGGGCCCTCCTCTCACCAAAGTCACAAAGCTTCAGTGCCACATATTTGTTGATCTGTGGGAGGGGAGACGGAGGGCTCACCTCGGACCTCAGCAGAGCCGCACCCCCACCGGCACCCTCGCCCTGCCCCGACCCCTGCCTTGGTCATGACGAGGATGCTCTCACATAGTGAACCAGGGCCCCGGTCACCACCACGGCCGTGGTCACCTGCTCTCCCAGGAAGGGCAAGGCGGAGCTGAAAAGGGCAGCGAGCAGGACGCGGCAGATCACCAGGACGTGGGCCATGCCTATCATCAGGCAGATCTGGCGGGGGTCGGGGAGGCCAGGATGGGCAGGCCTCCGGGGGCCGCCCCACCTGCTCTCCAGGGGCGCCCCAGGAGTACCATCAACAGAGACAGCAGGAGGATGACGGTACTCCGCGCGTAGCCGGGGCTGGTAGTCAGGGCAGGCAATGAGCCCCAGCACCATTTCCTCCTGTGGACGGCACCGGACACGCCTGAGACACGGGACTCCTCACCCACGGGAACCGCGATTCATACATGGGGACCCCCTCAGACACAGCAGACTCGTGTGGGCCCTGGGCCTGGTCACCTGGCTCAGCCTCACCTGGTCCTCGTCCCACCCGTACAGGTCCCACTGCAGGACCACACGGACTCGCTCCCGCTTCCACAACTCCAGGAACACGGTGGCTGCAGCCGGGAGAAAGCAGAGGCCTCACGGCGTGTCCCCACTGCGTGTGGAGCTCGGCTGCCCCCCAGGTGCCGCAGCGACTCACCCCACAGCGCCGTGAACACGGCGAACAGCACGGTGCCCTCGTTGTCGAAGAGGTGGGTGAGCTGGGGAGAGCGGCGCGTGGGGCTGGGGCGGCCTTCCCTTCCCTGGGAGGACCCCCTGGGCCCTCTTCCCCGCGGGCGAGCAGCCGCAGTGCCCCCCCCTCCCACGGCGCAAACCTTGGCGAAGGCGCAGGTTTCTGAGAGCCGCTGGTACCTGGGGCTGTGGTCGCCGCGAGGGCACATGTAGACGTCGTGGGCATCACAGATCTCCCTGCTGGGGGTGCAGGGACCGGGTTGTCGGCGGCGCTTACCTGTGGCCCCTCCTGTGGCCCCTGGGGGACCCCACCCCAGGCCGCCCCTTCCCTGACTCCGCCCCTTCCCTGACTCCGCCCCACCCTCAGTCCCGCCCCTTCACGCCCCCGCCCCTTCACGACCCCGCCCAGTCACGCCCCCTTTCTGACTCCACCCAGCCCACTCAGTCCCACCCCCTTACGTGACTCCACCCCAACCCCGCCCCCTCCATGACCCTACACACCCCTGTCCCGCTCATTCCCTGACTCCTCCCCACCCTCAGTCCCTCCCTTTCACGACCCCGCCCTAACCCCGCCCCTTCCGTGACCTCCGCCACCCCGGTCCTGCCCCTTCCCTGACCCCCCAGTCCCGTCCCTTGCCTGACTCCGCCTCACCTGATCTGGCTGGCTTCGAAATGGGCAAACCCGCTCAGGAAGATGATGAGGCCCACCACCGCGGCGGGCACCAGCATGTAGGTGTACCAGCCGAGCCAGGCGAAGTACAGCGCCACCTTCTCACCGAAGTAGTTCCTAGGGGCACAGCCGTCCCGTCAGGGCCACTCCCAGCAGGGGTGACCGTCCACCGCCAACGCCGGGGTGAGGCATGCCACATGCGGGGCGGGCAAGGAGCGTCTGTACTGAGGGCATCTAAACGTGTGTCTAAATGGGAGTCCGCACAGCAGTTTGCTGGAGGCGTGGGTATAACCGCGGGGGGCGCAGGTGTGTCCGCGGGGGGCAGTAGTACCTGATGTCACCAATTGGCTGCTCTTGGAACATGTTTCTCCACCAGGCCCATTTCTTCTTTAGGTCTTCCTCCCCCTGAGCACAGGCGACAGACAGTGAGAGCTTCTTGCCTCAGGTCCTGCCCTCAGGTCCTCTCCCAGCCGGCCCACCACTCACCTTGTGTAGGGGAAACACGGCCTCAAAGACCCCATCCTTCACCAAATCCTGGAGCGTGTCTGGTGGTCACAGGGATTCTCGGGTCAGAAGGGAGTGAGGGGTGAGGGAGGACCCTGTCCCGTTCTCCCCGTGTGACTGCCCCTCCTGGTGGGCTGCTGCCATCCAGTCCTTACCACCAGCTGCCATCTTGCTGTTCAGCACAAAGTTGACAATTTGGATTCTGGAACACAAGAGCTGGCTCAGGATGGCCCTCTATCTGGCCAGGTCCTCTGTGTCCTAGCAGAACCCCCAGACCACCTGACCAGAGCCCAGAATCCAGGACTCCTCTGGGAGCCCACCTCCTTAAATCCTCCCAGGGTCTAGCTGTGCCATGGTTCCAAGGTGGGCCTCCCTCAGGGTGGTCTCTCTCTTCCCAGGGCCCCGATGCTCAGCCCTGCAGTAGTCTCTCCCAGATCCCTCCCAGACCTCCCACCTCCAATCACCCGTCCCACCTGGAGCCCCCACACGTCGAGAGCACACTCTTTATGTGCACAAATCCTCTTTGCACCCCTGTGAGCCATTTTGCCTATGGGGCGACTGAAGCTCAGAGAGAGTGAGTAATTTGGTCAAGGCCACACAGCCAGGAAGCGGCACATTCGGGCATCTGACTATACAGTCCCCCTGAGTGTCCAGGGGACTCCCCACAGCCTGCTCCTCTCAGGCCCCATCAAGATGCCTCTATTCATGTGTCCTCCCAAGACCGGCCAGTCCTTCTGTGTTCACAGGAAGCCCCCCTCCACTGCCTCGTATCCAAATTCCAGGAGTGTTCTTCACTAGTCTCCCTGATCGGGCCCCAGATGAGTTCAGGGGGCCGGGGCTGGAGCCAGGAAGATGATGGAGGAGGGCTGTGGGGAGGGCAGGTGGGCTGGCTTGGAGGCCTAGAGGATCGGGGTGGGGAGAAGCAGGTGCTTGGAGAGAGAGGAGGTGTTGGATGCCTGGGAAGCAGGGGATAGATGTCCAGGGAGGGGCATTTGGTCTGGAGGAAAGAAGTCAGGATGTGAATCCAGGGAGATGACCTCAGAGCCTAGGAGGGACAGCTGGGAGGATCCTCTCAGCCTCTCCAAATTCTGCCCACCCTTTAAGGCTGGTTTCTATTCTGCATCTGGGGGCATAGTCACATGTAACCTTCAAACACTCCAAGAGGTGAGAACTGTCATTTTCCCGTATTACAGACATGGAAACTGACTCACAGACCCTTGCCCCCTGGGCCCTCCACCCTGGGACCACTCCTGGGAGCCTTGCTGCCTGTCTGGACCGGCATGTGGGCGGGCAGGGGTCCTCCTGGCCCCACTCTGGGCCAGCCTCTCACCTGGTGGTGGCTGGGATGGAAGTTGGCCTGGCCAGCTCCCCTCTGGGGGCGGTAGCCTCGGGCTCCATGAGAAGTCTGCGGTACCGGTCAAAGACCCGGTTGTCAGCTCGGATCCCAAAGAACACCTTCGCCTGGTCCTCCCTCGCCTGAGGGTGGGGGACAGCATGGGACCCTCTACTCCACATTGGGACCCTCCCCTTCATCCAAAGCCAATGGCCTATCCCCTCCTATCCTTCTCCTGCACGAGGCCTCAGCCCACCTCCCCAGACACCTCCCCGGGATCCGCCCAGTCCCACGTGACCCCTGCGCCCAGGCGAGGCCCTCAGCCCGCCCACCCTGTAGCAGAAGCCCTTCCTCTCGAGCTCTTCCAGGAACTGCTGCTGCCGCTGGACCTGCCTGGGGTTTCTCTGGGTGCAGTGATCAGCCACAACGACATAGTCCCATGGCTCGGAGGCCTCAGTCTAGAAGCAAGAGGTGTGGGGACTGGGACTGGGGACCAGGGCGGGCCAGGTGCGGGCCATGGGGCAGTAGGTGGGACCAAGCCCAGGAGAGACTCAAGCAGAGACTCACCTCAGTGGTATTGATGTCCATCTGCAGGGGGCTGTCCCCTTCGGTCCCCACCAGGATCCGGAGGCTCTCTTCTCCCTGGGGGTGAAGAGCAGACGGAGGATGGGGCTCATTGCAGCAGACAAGCACCTCCTGGGCTGGGTGCTCTGGTAGCAAAGGGGTAGTTCCGGGTGGGGCTGAGTGCGTGCACCGAGGCTACAGCACAAGCGGCCGGCAGAGGCTGGTTTGGAAATCTATACAAAGAGCTCCCAGAATTCATAAGAAAAGGCAGACAGCCCAGTTTAAAGTGGGCACACTTCACAAAAGAGGGGCACTCAGAAGCTGAAACCATGGAGCTAGGGAACCATCTGGAAACGCAGGCCAGGTGACCAAGAGGCACCACCTTCCACCATTTGGTAGCCAACATTTTACGGCCAGACAGCTCTAAAAACACAGGTGTGGGAGTTCCCTGGCTGTCTAGTGTTTAGGATGCAGTGCTTTCACAGCCGTGGCCCAGGTTCAATCCCTGGTCGGGGAACTGAGATCCCCAATGCCGCTTGGTGCGCCCCCCCCCCAAAAAAAAAGCCTGGGTGGGACTTCCCTGGTGGTCCAGTGGCTAAGCCTCCACGCTCCCAGTGCAGGGGGCCCGGGTCCGATCCCTGCTCCGGGAACTAGATCCCACATGCATGCCACAACTAAATCCCACATGCTGCAATGAAGATCCCATCTGCTGCAGCTAAGACCCAGAGCAGCCAAAATAAATAATAAATAAATAAATATTAAAAAAAAAAAAGCCCGGGTGATCTATAAAAATATTGAATGTAATATAATATTGTAAATCACCTGAAACCACTATAATGTTGTAAGTCAACTATACGTCAAAAAAAAAAAAAAGCCCGGTGACTCAGCAGAATCCCCATGTGTTGATGTGGCTCACACATTGGTGCTGGAACTTGGGAAACTAAGTTGACCGTCCCAGACACTACACCCTGGGCCAGCCACCTTTGGAGACAGACAAGGGTGCTCACAGCAGCACATTTCATATCAGAATTGTGGAAATAACCCAAATTCCCATCGGTAGGCAGATGGATGAAAACACTGTGCTATGAGCACACACAACAGGAACATGAGGGCCACCACTGCACGCAGGGCGCTGGGGACCAGTGTGACACGGTACTGAGTTTCCTAAAAGTAAGTCCAGTGAGAACTGTGCAGGAGCGACTGCTGCAGGCACGTCCCGGACAGACGGACGGACACTAAAACCAGCGGGCAGAACCTTAAGGGGGAAGCGGATGGTGCCGAGCCCCTGAGTCTCCCCGATTCTTTGTTAACTGTTGCGGCAGCATTAACAAACCTCACACATCCTATGCTACTGCCTCCGGAGGATGGTGCAGACTCCGCCCTCTCGAGGGTGGGCTGGACTCAGTGACTAATGAAGGAAGCGTGAAAGGGAAAAAGAGTCACCCTACAGAGGAGAAACCTGGCAGATGCCCCCCACCCAGGTGATGAAGGTCAAGGTCACGGTGATGTAATTGAGATGTCGGGGACCTCCTGACAGCATGTGATGCGATAGTACGTGATCCTACCCTAAAACCCCTATAGTCCCATCTCAGCAGAAGACGCCGGAGGCCCTTTCACCTGAGCCCGAGTGAGCGGACCCCAGAGGCAGGCGGCCAAGGACAAGGCGGGACGGAGGGACCATCACAGACAGGAGGGGCCGTGGAGACGTGGCGATGATGCCGTGGCGGGTCCCGCACGAGCCGGGAACAGGAGAGGACACGCACGGAAAAGCCGGTGACGTGAGTCAAGGCGGCCGTGTCGGGCTCTTAGCTTTGACCAGCGCCCCAGGCGACGGGGCACGGGGGACCCTGCACCGTCTTTGTGACTCTTTACGAAAACTCACAGACCTGTAAAAACTGCACAAGTGGAGTGGAGGGTTCTGGGATTGGCATCCAGGTTGGTGGGGGGGCGGGGCGGGGAGTGGAGGGGGGTCTTTAGGCTTCATTTACTCCCAGTGAGCAAACAGCAGGTTCTGACTTGCCCGCCTTAGGGGCTAAGTGTCATGTTGGACAAATTCGTAAGTGAAACGGATCCTCACGTGCTTGACTTCAGACCCAAGATGAGGGCTCGCCCCACCTCTCCCCAGGCCCGGGACCTCCTGCAGGAGGACCCTTCGAGGGTCCCTGGTGGACAGTCCCACAGAGGCTGAAAGGAGAGACTCCCTCACATGAGCACTGGCCTGAGGCTGAAGAACGGGAAGACGGGACCCCAGGGCGGGGAGGGACGGCACAGGGAAGCCACCCTGGCAGGAGGCAGCAGGAAGGAGCCTGGGGAAGACTGCCTGTGAGGGACCCGCCAAGACGACAGCGGGAGGCTGGCCCTCAGGCGGCGCCAGAACTGAGCTGCTGGACTTGGTGCAGCTCTGGGGTCCCAGACAGCCCTCCCTCCCCAGAGACATCACACAGCTTTGGGACATTACCCAGAGCCTCTTGGAAAAGGGGAACGCAACCTTCCCTGGAGGATGGTGTGTGATCTGGACCAGAGGTGTCCTACGGGCACTGACCCCCACCATTGATTCGGGCCACTGGACAGGGAGACACCCCCCACCGAGGGCAAAGGTACATGCACCCCTCAGGGTTGCCCTGGTCACCCCTGGGCAATGGGCGAGCAGTCACAGGAGCGGCCAGGTCTGAGTGCCCCCTGCCCAGCCCTGGTCTAGCCACCCCACACCCCACAGCCGCAAAGGGACCAAGTCCTGAGCATCAGCTTCCTGTACACTCTGGGCTCCCCAGCCCCATCCCCAGGCCACCTGCCACATGCAAGGCCCCTCTCTGGGCCGTGGTCACAGACACAGCCTCCAGTATCAGGCTGTCCATCTGTCCACCTGTCCTCCAGGGAAAGAGGCCTTCACAGATGGGAACCAGGTCCACCTGAAGTCACCCCCACCTCCAGCCAACCAGACTGCTTGGTGCACCCGAAGCGAGGTGTCTGGGGCCCCTGCGTCCCTGTCTATCAGACCCCACCCCCAGGAAGCCATGTGTGCCCATCAGGCTCCCAATCCCCAGGGCTCCTGCAGGGTTCCTACAGGGGCTACCCTGGCACTCTTGGCCTCAGGGATCCCAGCCCTGCCATGTGCAGACCCCCAGCAAGTCCCTGCACTTGGACGGGGGGCAGGCTCTGGGCACCCGGCTCTCTGTTGTCCTCCCTTCGGCCTTCCAGCCCCCACCCCTGCAGGCCATGCACCCAGGGCTTGGTACAGACTGGAGTCCCAGCGGGCTCACCCGCTGGCTCCGCAAGAGGAAACTTCTTATGATGCTGCAGCTCCCGGGAGACCTTCCCAGCCTTGGGAGCCAGAGCTGGGCGAGTCCTGCCCCTGTCTGTCCCTTCCCAGGCCAGCCTCCAGGTCACCGGAGAGGCAAATGCGACTGCCACCCAGCTCCCAGCAGTCCTGGCCCTGCGGGCTACGGGGAGCACCCGTGTGACATCACCCCAGCTGCATGTGGCACACGTGGGCCTCCGTCACTCTCCACGGCCCGTCTCACGCCAAGGGTCATAGCACAGCCCTGCCGGCACTCCGCACCCTCCTGCCCCACTGCCCAGCATGAACAGGGAGAGGCCCGCCCTCGCTCGTCCGGCCTCTGACCCCACCCCCCCAGTGGATGCCCCATCTGCTGGCTCTGCTTCCTCATCTTCCCTTCCCAGCCCCCTTCCCCTGGCCGTACCCCCTCGCATGTGGGATCTTAGTTCCCCAACCAGGGATCGAACCCACACCCCCTGCAGTGGAAGCAAGGAGTCCTATAGCCACTGGACCGCCGGGAAAGCTCCTGCTTCCTCCTCTGACTCATCTTCCGAGTCCTGTCATCTGCCTACCCACTCCCTTCTGCCATCCCTCTGTCTCATGTGTCCGGTCATCCACCCCCAGACACAGCTTGCTCTGTGTGCAGCCCTCACGGGGAGTGCGTAGTGTAAGTGGACACGGGCCCGGAGAGCAGGCGCCTACTTGGCAGGGGAGCTTGCCCTTGTGGTGTGGACAGGCCCCGAGGGGCAGCGGGCAACTGGTGTCCAGGGGCTCAGTGCTACCTCCCAGGGACTCGGTACTCAGCACTTCAGCTCTTCAGAAGCATAAAGGGCAAGAAGGGAGCTGCCGGGAGGTGAGACTGGGGATTAGCAGAAGCCAGACCAGAGGGCCTCTCAGCGGCTGGGGAGCCTGGACTTCAGCTGGGGGCAGCAGGGAGCCATGGAAGGGACTGGAGCAGGGAAGGGTGTGCTCAGATCCAGCTGGGGCCACAGAGTTCTCTGCCGTGTGCATCAGTCTTTCTCCAAGGGTTGATTCTCTTGCCTCAGTCAAACCAGGGGCTTCCTCCCCACCCACCCTTGCCAGCCCCGCCTCCCTTCCACCCCAGCACAGGGCTGGCATGGGAGGAAGGGGCAGCCAGGGGAGCTCGGGGTCAGGCCAGCGTATGCCCACATGCCAGCCTTAGCAGCCGGGGCTCCAGAGCTGGCTCTGGAAGGGCAGGGGCAGAGTGAGAGGCTGCCTGCTTGGCCCACACCTGGGAGCGCCCTGAGGGGGCTGAGTGGGAGGCCGCTTTCCTTCTCCACTTCAGCACGGGTCCCCGCCAGCTGCCCAAGGGCTGGCCCCCGCCCCGGAGACCGACCTCTTCCCTGGGGAGGGAAGGAAGGAAGTCTTTCCAGGATGTTCCCGCCTACCTCCCCAGGGCCCCCACGGCCTCCTGCTCTGCCCCCAGAATCAGAATCCAGTAGCCCTCGGCGGGCTCCCACCCCTGCCTAGGCAGAACCCCCAGGGAGCCAAGGACCCAGCTGGCCACCCTGGGACTCCCCATCCCCAGGTCAGCCCACCCTAGAGACCACAGCCCCTCCCCTCAGGGCAGAGCGGCAGGTCTGGGGTCTTCCTCCTGGCTCAGGGCCCAGGGGTGGATATGCCTTCCCGCACACTCTGTGTGAGTGTAAGAGCCGGGCCGGAGGGACCCAAGAACCCCGGCTCGGGGCCCAGGGGGTGGACTTGCCCTCCCCGCATACGCCCTTCACTCTCGAAGGGCCGCCCTCCTCTGTCCCGCCCCAATCCCAGCCCGGCCAGCCTCCCCGCGGCCGGGGCTGGGCAGAACCCCACCCGCGGCCGCCCCAGGCACCCTCCAGGTGAGGGGGCAGGGCCGGCCGGAGGGGCCTCGGCTCGGACCCCGTCCGGGTGGGCGTGGCTCGGAGCGGACTCACCCGCACGCTGGTGGCGGTGCTGGGCGCCGCGCTCGGAGGGGTCGGAGGGACCGGCAGTCCCAGCGCCGGTGGGAACCCGAGCGTGGCTGCGAAGCCGCCCGGCGCTCCTTCCCGACTTCCGTGCGCGACTCTCCCCTCCCTCCTCAGGCCCCTGTGCCGCCCGGCGCCGTCGGGGAGGAGCTAGTGGCCCGCGGGCCAGAAGGCACACCCTCCCCCCAGTCCCCCGGACCTGGGGCACCTTCCTGGGGACGCCGCCGTCGCGCCCGCCCCCGCCCCGAGGCCCGAGGCCTCACCTGCAGAGGGGAGTGTCCCCTCCGCTACGGGGTTAGACTGGCATCCGGTAGGCGGAGGGGAGCCCTCCCCGATGATGACCGCAGCTCCCTGCTCGCCTTCACTCTCCCTGACCCCAGGACGCACCTTCCCCAGGCCCTTCCAGAGCACCCAACCTCTGACCCTTTCAAGTCTAGTGTTGATTCCCTTAGAGGAGAAACTGGGGCCCAGAGGACTGAAGATGAGACAAACCCCAGCAAGAAACAATCAGCTCCCTGAGCCCCTGCTCTGTGGACGCCAGCTGGGGGAGGGGAGCCCTTGGGGTCCTGAGGACAGGTGGCTGGCTGGGCTGGGTGGGGAATGAAGGACTGAGAGGGCAGTTCTATGACATCCTGTGGTCCAGCGGGCAGCAGCTGGAGGAGGCTCTGGGCCACCTGAGAGGGACTGTCCTGCAGGATAGGGAGGTGGGGTATCCAGGCTCTGACAGCTGCTGGGAAGCTGAGGACACAGGGCAGGAGCCAGGAGAGAAGACAGGTGGAGACACTGAGCAGTATGGGGGCAGCTGGAGGAGAGCAGGGGGCACCCATAGTGTCACAGGGGGCACCCACGATGTCACGATACAGCATTGTGCAGCCCAGGCAAACCTGCAGTGGAGACCCATGGTTGACATGTTTGCTCTAGGTTCCCGCAGGGTAACATGGCCCCACCCACATTTCTGTTTGCGGGACCCCATGGCAGGCTGTGACAGCAGCGGGGACTGAACTACGAAGTGGCAAAGACGAGAGTGAACTGGCAGCACAGAACCTGTGCAACTCTGATGGAGCAAATCTGCACAAATGCATTGAGGTTGGTGTGATGGAAACCCCAAACAGTAGCAGCTTAAACAAGCCCGTTTACTTCTCTCTCCCATAAGTGACATCTGGAGGCGGTCCTACCAGACGCCTGGTTATTAACTTGTTGCTCTGTCACCGAAGGCGCGTGGACCCATCACATAGTTCAAAGTGGCTGCTCAAGCTCCAGGCGTCACATCCACGTCCCAGACAGCAGGAAGAGCAAAGGTTGGGGGGGTATTCCATCCCGCACGTGGTTAGTCACCTGGCCAGTCACCTGGCCAACCTTACTGCAAGGAAGCACGGGAAGTATGATCATTTTTCCTAAGGGAGAAGGTAGGTGGACCCTGGGGGCACCCAGCAGCCTCTGCCACAGGTGAGAGGGCCTCAAACGCTGTGTTAGAGCTCAGGAAACAGAGTCAGCAAGAGATTCTGAGCATGAGTAATCCAAACTCAAGATCCCTATGACCAGCCGTCTCCTGGACTCTCCATCTCCCCCAGTCTCCAGCTCAACCTGCTCAGGACAGTCTGCATTTGCACTTTCATTCTGTGAAAAGAGTCCACTAGTTCCCCCCCAAGTGTCTACACAGCTGCTCCCTTTTTCAATGTCTTTATTTGGCATTCCGACTTTTAATGCCACAGAAACACTGCTTCTTCTCTTTCCCACCTTCCAAGGGTCTGAGGGAACCTAAATTATATCCAGCAGCCTCGCTGCCCAAGAGCCTCTTGCACCTTGGCCCCTTGGGCGAAGGCAGCGCAGCATCTCCAGCCTGGGGGCGGAGCGGCGCGGGAAGAGGAGCCCTGGCCTCGCCCCACAGTGGAAGCTCCCCTACTCTCAGTGAAGGATGGAAAGGGCAGGTCTCATCTAGTCCTATCTGGAGAGGAAATGGGTGCGGCCCTTTCGGAAAGCAGTCCAGCAATAAGAATCTAAAGCCTTAAAAATTGTTTATACTTTGGTCCATTAATTAACTTTTTCTAAACTATCCTAAGAAAAACTCCAAAATATTGAAAATATGTATTACTATGTCCTTTGAGGCAAAAATTATAAACCACCTGGATTATCAATAATAGGGAAATGTCTGAGCAAACACGGTATATTCATATGCTGATTAAGCAGTCATTAAAAATGATGCTTTCAAAGAGTTTATGACAGCATAGGAAAATGCTTATGTTATACTGTTAAGTGAAAAAAACATAGATTGTAAACATATATACATTTCTTTATCTCAACTAAGTTAAAATGCATTAAAATACCAGGAGAGTAGTTTTGTTTTGTTTTTTTTTTTCTTTCTTAGCGGCACGCAGGCCTCTCACTGTTGTGGCCTCTCCCGTTGCGGAGCACAGGCTCCGGACACACAGGCTCAGCGGCCATGGCTTACGGGCCCAGCTGTTCCGCGGCATGTGGGATCTTCCCGGACCGGGGCACGAACCCGTGTCCCCTGCATCGGCAGGCGGACTCTCAACCACTGTGCCACCAGGGAAGCCCCAGGAGAGTAGTTTTTATATTTGATATTCATATTTGCGTGCGGATGGTGGAATTGTGCTTTTCTTCCTACAGTTTGCTTTCTTTGACACACATCACTTTTATAAACTTTATATTATTAAATGCACTTTGTTGTCATATTAAAGTCTATTATTAGGAACTTTGTTCAATCTCAGCCTCACTCTCTGCCTTGGTTTCGAGTACATCTTGTGAAGAAGCCGCACCCCTTCAGGCAGTGTGGCCTGGCCACCCCGGCTGTCCGCAGGCTGACCCTGCCCTGTTTTGGGCGGAGAACTCCAGTCGAGGTGCACATGGGCCTCCAGCTCCTCCCCTGTGAATCCTGCTGCCAAAGTGCAGCAGGACGCAGGCCCCCCATTCCCGCTGTCTCTAGGGCGCCTCCCCCAGGAAGAGGTCAGAATGACAAGTCTACCAAGAGTGCCCCAGGCTCATCCTCACCGGGGGAATCTGTCCTCCCAACCCCAGTGGCCTGGATGTGGCCGAAGACCCTCTGGGGTCGCTCTGAGGCTGCTCCTCGGAGGCAGCACAGGCAGGGCGGCTGAGGTTGGGGTCTCCCGAGTCCTCTCCAGGCTGGTCCCAGGCACCCCACCCCCCTCTGGCTTCTTTGGCTGACGGAGCCTCTCTTGGGCCATAGACCTCGCTGGTCTCAGGCCCCTGCAGGAGAGACCCCTCCCCCAGGTTGGGCCTCTGCTCCTCCGGTCTGCAGGAAGCTGGCCCGTGCCTGTCACACCAGGATGGCATTGGGGTGGGGACCCAGGCCCCTGATGTCCTCACCCCAGGAACACTTCTGTCTCCCTGCTGCTCCCCACCAATGCCTCTGGGCCTTAAATTTCAG